TGGACTAATGTAACAACACAGGAAACTTTATTACATTGTGGACATTGGGTTAATATATATCTATCTAAATAAAGGGCAAGATGGATGGATGGCATCCTTGAAGTGACTGGACTGACCTTGAAAGAGCTGGGGGTGGTGACGGCCGACAGGGAGCTCTGGCGTGGGCTGGTCCGTGAGGTCACGAAGAGTCGGAGGCGACTGAACGAATGAACAACAACATCTAAATAAAAATGTAATGTTCATTTGTGGGATTAACAGAACTCAAAAACCACTGGACGAATTGCCAACAAATTTGGACACAAGACACCTACTAACCCAAGGAGTGACCATCACTCAAAAAATGGATTTTGTCATTTGGGAGTTGTAGTTGCTGGGATTTATAATAAACCTACAATCAAAGAGCATTCTGAACTCCACCAAATGATGGAACTGAACCAAAAATGGCACACAGGACTCCCATGATCGACAGAAAATATTAGAAAGGTTTGGTGGGCATTGACCTTGAGTTTGGGAGTTGTAGTTTGCCTACATCTAGAGAGCACTGTGGACTCAAACAATGATGGATCTGAATCAAACTTGGCACGAATACTCAATATGTCCAAATGTGAACACGATGGAGTTTGGGGGAAATAGACCTTGACATTTGGGAGTTGTAGTTGCTGGGATTTATAGTTCACCTACACTCAAGAGAGCTTTCTGAACCCCACAAATGACAGAATTGGGGCAAACTTCCCACACAGACCCCCCCATGACCAACAGAAAATACTTAAGGCCACCGAGTCCAACTCACTTCACCAGGGCAAGAAACGTAATCAAAGATCTCCTGACAAAGAGCCATCCAGCCATAGGTATAGATTGATATGATTCACACACACAGATATAGTATGTAGATTTGAAAAGGACCCCTAAAGAAGGATAATATATGTTGTATGTTCCAGAGAAGGCAAACTAGATAATCTCTACATCAACACTGACAAAGAAACATCAAGAAATACTTTTAACCCACAAATATCACATATATTAGAAACCAACACTTTCTCATTAGTTCTTGTGGGTTTTTCGGGCTATATGGCCATGTTCTAGAGGCATTTCTCCTGACGTTTCGCCTGCATCTATGGCAAGCATCCTCAGAGGTAGTGAGGTCTGTTGGAACTGGGAAAAAAAGGGTTTATATATCTGTGGAATAATGACCAGGGTGAGACAAAGGACTTTTGTCAGTTGGGCTAGGTGTGAATGTTTCAACTGACCACCTCGATTAGCATACAATGGGCTGACTGTGCCTGGAGCAAACTCTTCTTGAAAGGTAATTAGATGTCCCTGCCTGTTTCTTCTCTGCTGTTTTTGCTGTTGCAATTTTATAGTTTTTTAATACTGGTAGCCAGATTTTGTTCATTTTCATGGTTTCCTCCTTTCTGTTGAAATTGTCCACATGCTTGTTGATTTCAATGGCTTCTCTGTGTAGTCTGACATGGTGGTTGTGAGAGTGGTCCAGCATTTCTGTGTTCTCAAATAATCTGCTGTGTCCAGGTTGGTTCATCAGGTGCTCTGCTATGGCTGACTTCTCTGGTTGAAGTAGTCAACAGTGCCTTTCATGTTCCTTGATTCGAGTTTGTGCAATGCTGCGTTTGGTGGTCCCTATGTAGACTTGTCCACAGCTGCATGGTATACGGTTGACCAGGTGAGAGGATCCCTCTTGTCCTTTGCTGAACGTAGCATTTGTTGTATTTTCTTGGTGGGTTTGTAGATTGTTGGTATGTTGTGTTTCCTCATCAGCTTCCCTATGCGGTCAGTGGTTCCCTTGATGTATGGCAGGAACACTTTTCCTCTGGGTGGATCTTCATCTTTACTCTCGTGGCTTGTTCTTGGTCTTGCAGCTCTTCTGATGTCTGAGGTGGAGTCTCCCTTGGCCTGGAGAGCCCAGTTGAGGTGGTTCAGTTCATCTTGGAGGAGAAGGTGGGCTTCGCAGATTCTTTTTGCACGGTCTGCCAAGGCTTTAATGGTGCTTCTTTTTTGACTTGGGTGATGGCTGGAGTTTTTATGTAGATATCTATCTGTGTGTGTGGGTTTTCTGTAAACGGTGTGACCAAATGTTGATCTGGTTTAGGGATGACTAGGACATCTAGAAAAGGCAGTCTTCCTTCCTTTTCTTTTTCCATAGTGAACTATGGATGTTTGGTTGGATGCTGTTAAGATGGTCCAGGAACCTGTTGAGTTCTTCTTCTCCATGGCTCCAAATGGTGAAGGTGTCATCCACATATCTGAACCATATGGTGGGCTTTTTTGGTTGCTGTTTCAAGAGCTTGTTTTTCAAAGTGTTCCATGTAGAAGTTAGCTATGACTGGGCTGAGAGGGCTCCCCATGGCTACTCCATCTTTCTGTTCATAGAATTCATTGTCCCACTGAAAGTAACTGGTGGTGAGGCAATGGTGAAACAGAGCCGTGATGTCTTCTGGGAACCTCTGGTTGATGAGTGCCATGGTGTCTGCAACTGGGACCATGGTGAATAGAGACACCACATCGAAGCTGATCAGTTTGTCGTTGGTATTAAGCTTGAGATTGCTGATTTTTTCAATGAAAAGTAACTTTCTCATTACTTTATTTTCCAGCTCACGAGACTGGGCCACAGCAACGCGTGGCAGGGGATAGCTAGTCCTTAATAACAATATATAAATATATTGGGTTAATATATCTCCTCAATGGATTGTCGCCTTGTCGTGGTGAGGGGGTTTGTGAGCTCCAATCAACCTGCAGACCTATTCATTTCAGACTACAACTCCCAGGGTCCTCCAACCCATACAGAATCATAGAATGAAATAATTGGAAGAAATCTCATGGGCCATCCAGTCCAACCCCATTCTGTCAAGAAGCAGGAATATTGCATTCAAATTATGGCAGTCCTTTCTGCTGGGATGATGGGAGTTGTAGTCCAAGAGACACATTCCCTCCATTCTCATAGAATCATAGAATCAAAGAGTTGGAAGAGACCTCATGGGCCATCCAGTCCAACCCCCTGCCAAGAAGTAGGAATATTGCATTCAAATCACCCCTGACAGATGGCCATCCAGCCAGGAGCAGTGGTTCCAAAACTATGTTCCTTCAGGATTTCTTGGACTTCAACACCCAGAAGCCTCAAGTATCTTGGCCCAAGATCAGGGATTCTGGGACATGGAGTCCCCAGGAGGTAGAAGGCCAGGGTTTGGGAAGGGGGGCTCCTGAGACGGGATAATGCTTCCATGGCTAATCAGCTCTCACATCAGGAGATGCTTCCTCATGTTTATGTGGAAGCTTCTTTCCTGAAATTCGAATCCACTGCTTTCTATCTTAGTCCCCAGAAAAGCAGGAAAAACTGGCCCTTTTCTCCTCAATGGGACATCCTTCCGAATATGGGCTCTCCTGTCCGCTCAGCCTTTCTTTCCTCCAAACTAATCATACCCGGCTCCCTCATCCATTCCCTATCGCCCTTCTCTACATACTAGCATCTCAAAATCTTGCTTGAATTGTGCTGCCCGGAACTGGACGCAGGGTCATTCCAAGGGAGGTCTGATCCAAGTCTAGAAAAGAGTGGGCTCAAACTTACCCAGATCTAGACCTCACCCTCCCATTGGGACAGCCTTGAATCACAATGGCTTTTTAAGCTGATGTATCACACTTTGTAAAAAGAAAATTATTCAAAGACCAAAAACTAAACAAAACATATTTATACAAATTACAATTTTGGTATTTATTTTTTTACACATTTTTTTATTTTTATCTCTATTTCCTTTAAATGCTGTTCTATACCTGATCAATTTAGTTAATTTGTCCATCTCGACTGATGGACGTGAATCTTCATCAGCCGTTGTCACCATTCTTTGTCTTCCATTCTCTGCAGTTAGGGAGATGTGCTGTGTATCCTAATGGACCCTTTGCCAAAGGTGGGGAATAAACAGTCTCAAATACGTATATCGGTTCACTCTAAGCAGGGATAAGTACACAGAAAGCAAGACTGATGGTCTCGTGTACCAGGGCTCTCCCAGTATAAAGTCTAAGGAACACAAGCTAGGCCAAGGCAATATGTACTTATAAGAAAGCTAAACTCTTGAGTCCACTTAAAATAATACAATTGCAGCAACACAGTCGGAGGAACAATGAACACAAGTCAAGGTCAAGAGTCCAGTTGATGCAGACAAGTCGAGTACTTGAAAACAGCTCGGAAATTCCAACTGGTCCAACAGGCAGCAGCCAGGATGTTAACTTTGTTCATCCGAAGAGGCCCTGCTCGTGATTCCGCCTGCATCGCAGGCGCACTTGGTGGGGACACGATACATGGCCTTCTCTGTGGTGGCCCCCCGACTCTGGAACACCCTCCCAAAAGATCTCAGACAGGCCCCTACATTGGCAGTCTTTAGAAAGAATTTGAAGACCTGGCTGTTCCGATGTGCCTTTCCAGAATAGGAATCTCCAATAACAAGTTCCAGAAGCACTTTAGTAGAACTAAGATTGCTGCACACCGCACATACTTTATAATCCTACATACCTCCTGCCACATCAGCACTTTTAATCTTGTACCCATTACTCTGGTCCGGCCCAGTTTTTATAGCGTCTTGATGTATTGTTTATACTGCTTAACTGTTTTTAATTTGCTTTAGGTGTTGTATTGTTGTGTTGTGTTTTGAGGCCTTGGCCTTTGTAAGCCGCATCGAGTCCTTCGGGAGATGCTAGCGGGGTACAAATAAAGTTAATAATAATAATAATAATAATAATAATAACACTGCAGATCCAGGTCAGGAGCAAGAAGAAACAAAAGCCAAGGTTACAGTCCAATAGTCATATACCAGGAGTTCGTTCTACGGAGTTGATAAAATAACAAGCAGAAAATCAAGAGTACAAACCAAATTCAGAGTCCCAAATTCAAGTCAGAAATTCAGGGATACAAACAAAGTCCTGGTTCATAAATGAAACCAGGAAGCCAGTTCAGAATTTAAAGTCAACCATTCAGAAAACCAGAAAACCAACCAGAAAATGGTTCCCGGTACATGGCTGGAGCCCAAAATTCTAACTGAGGGGGAGTAGAGCCAAAACATGAGTCAAAAGTACGATGATATGACGTTATCTGCTACCAAAGAGCTATTCTTTTTCAGAACCTTTTTATCCAGAGATCTCAGCTGCTGCTCATTTCAGCAAACCTTCACAGATCATTCTAGAAGGCTGTGAGGGATTTCCTTGTGGAGGAGGGTTAGGTGAACCCCTTCAAAGCTTGGGGCAATACTGAGAAAAGTGCCCCTCTGAGTGAGACCTGCTCCCAGTAGCTGATGATCAAGACCACACAAACTGAAGCTCTTTTCCCATTCCATGCATTTATATGGCTTCTCCCCTGTGTGGGTCCTTTGATGGGAACGTAGCCTATCAGTCCGACTGAAGCTTTTTCCACATTCCATGCATTTATGTGGCTTCTCCCCTGTGTGGGTCATTTCATGGAAATGTAGTTTGTCACTGCGACTGAAGCTTTTTCCGCATTCTAGGCATTTATGTGGCTTCTCCCCTGTATGGGTCCTGTGATGGGAACATAGACTGCCACTGTGACTAAAGCTCTTTCCACATTCCATGCATTTATACGGCTTCTCCCCCGTGTGGGTCCTTTCATGGGTACGCAGATTGTTACTGTGACTGAAGCTCTTTCCACATTCCATGCATTTATGTGGCTTCTCCCCTGTGTGTGTCCTTTGATGAATACGTAGATTGTTACTGTGACTGAAGCTCTTTCCACATTCTATGCATTTATGTGGCTTCTCCCCTGTATGAGTCCTTTGATGAGTATGTAGATTGTTACTCCGACTGAAGCTTTCTCCACATTCCATGCATTTATATGGCTTCTCCCCTGTGTGGGTCTTGTGATGGGAACGCAGATGTCCACTATGACGGAAGCTTTCTCCACATTCCATGCATTTATACGGCTTCTCCCCTGTGTGGGTCCTTTGATGAGAACGCAGACTGCCACTCTGTCTGAAGCTCTTTCCGCATTCCATGCATATATAAGGCTTCTCCCCTGTGTGGGTCCTTTGATGGGAACGTAGAGTGCCATTCTGACTGAAGCTTTCTCCACATTCCATGCATTTATAAGGCTTCTCCCCCATGTGGGTCTTTAGATGGGAATGTAGTTTGTCACTGAGACTGAAGCTCTTTCCACATTTCGTGTATTTATATGGCTTCTCCCCTGTGTGGGTCCGTTCATGTATTGTAAGAGAACTGTTCCAATCAAATTGTTTTCCACATTCCATACACTGATGTAACTTCTCCCCTGTGTGTGATCTAGGATAGAGAGGTAGGGGACTTGCCATTCTTTTACACTTGTAATTCAAATATTATGCCAGGGGATCACAGATATAGCCTCCTGAACAGCACAGTTTTTGTATTGCTGTAGCCTTCTGCTTGCTTTCTCAAGCCTCTCTTTTTTCAGTACAATCTTATTTCCCCACCTTAACAGCAGATTTTTTTCCTTGTTGTTATTGTTGTGTATCACAGCACTCCTCGGGCAAAGCTCTCACAAGGTGTTCTTCTCAGAACTTGTTCAGAATTTACCTGCCAGACAAATGAGAAGAACATCTCTTCAGGACTTAAAAGGAGAAAGATCTCATGAAACACGAAGAACAAGTCTAGTGCTATAGCAAACCCAGGGGAAGAGGGGAGGTGCCCATTGCCTGGTGACAAATACTTTAACACTTGCCCAACAAAGAACAATCCCTCCGCAGGTACAAGGGGGACGGTGCCCAAAGATACTCTGTGTGAGTGCAAGGCGTTCAGGGAGGGGCCTTTATAATTCTCAGCCAGAGAGGTCCTGGGCCTCTCAACTACAAACTCTATAATCCTGCAGGAAACAGCCACAGGATTTCAAAGGGGAAGTAGTCTTCTCCTACTTGGAAGGCCAGATGCTAAGTTTTCTGAGGCTGCAGAAATGATTAACAACTGGAAGAACATATCTGATACAAAAGAATCCAGCAAAAGGAGCAGCATCAGGAAACTTCAGGCCAATAACATGTCTGCCCACTATGTTTAAACTATTGACCGGCATCATAGCTGACAGAATTCAACATTATCTTGTAGAAAAAAACATCTTGCCAGATGAACAGAAAGGCAACAAATGGAAAAGCAGGGCTACAAAAGACCAGTTATTAATTGACAAAATAATTCTGGAGAACTGCAAACGCCGAAAAACTTATTTTCACATGACGTGGATGGACTACAAAAAAGCCTTTGACTCACTCCCACACAGTTGGATCATCAAGTGCCTAGACACCATTGGCATTTGTAAAAACGTTGGCACTTTTATTGAAAATATGATGAAGCTCTGGAAAACTGAACTGTTTGTTGGAAATCAAAACTATGGACTTGTCAACATCAGGAGAGGAATCTTCCAGGAAGACTCATTTTTCCCACTGCTTTTCATCATTGCCATGATCTCTTTGTCAACAACCTTACAAAAAACAGACCTAGACTATCAAACATCTAAGAAATCTCACAAAATTTCACACCTGCTGTACATGGATGACCTGAAGCTGTATGGGAAAACCGAAACTGAAATCCAGTCTCTGACTAACACTGTCCGAATCTTTAGCACTGATATCAACATGGAGTTTGGTTTGGACAAATGTTCGACAGTGGCACTGAAGAATAGAAAAATAATTGAAAGTGAGGGCATAAATACGCCCAATGGCCAAGTGATAAAGTATTACCAGCCAGAGGCCTATAAATATCTGGACATACTACAGCTGAACAACATCAAACATGAACATGTGAAAACTGTGGTCAGCAAAGAATACATTCAAAGGGTCAGAAAAATTCTCAAAAGCAAGCTTAATGGAGGCAATACCATCAAGGCCATAAACTCCTGGGTCATACCTGTCCTAAGATACAGATAAACTGGACGCAGGCAGGACTGGACAATTTGGACAGAAAAACAAGAAAACTCATGACCATTCATCCTTCACTACATCCTCACAGTGAAGTTGACTGGCTCTATCTGCCTAGAAAGTCTGGTGGCAGAGGATTTTTACAAGTAAAACAAGAAGTTGAAGAAGAACAACACGATGCCCTGGCAGAATATGTCAAGGAAAGCCAAGAACCTGCTTTAATTGAAGTCAATAATTGGAAACTTCTCAAATCACAGCAGACTAAGAACCAATACAAGAAAACTGCACTACAAACCAGAGCTGACAGTTGACATAACAAAGCCTTGCATGGGCAGTTCCTTGACAAAATTGAAGGAAAAGTTGACAGGGAGAAGACCTCGTGATGGCTCACGAATGGAACCCTGAAGAAGGAGACAGAACAAGGCCTGGTTCTTGCAGCCCAGGAGCAAGCCATCAGAACCAACGCAATTGAGGCCAGGATCGAAAAATCAACGGATGACACAAAATGCAGACTGTGCAAGGAAGCGGATGAAACCATGGACCATCTCCTCAGCTGTTGCAAGAAAATCGCACAGACGGACTACAAACAGAGGCACAACTCTGTGGCCCAAATTATTCACTGGAACTTATGTCACAAGTACCACCTGCCAGCAGTAAAGAATTGCTGGGAACATAAGCCCACAAAGGTCGTGGAAAATAAACATGCAAAAATACTGTGGGACTTTTGAATCCAGATTGACAAAGTTTTGGAACACAATACACCAGACATCATTATTGTGGAAAAGAAAAAAGTCTGGATTATTGATGTCACCATATTGGGTGACAGTCACATTGAAGAAAAACAACAGGAAAAACTCAGCCATTATCAGGACCTCAAAATCGAACTGGCATAAACCAGTACTGTTCTGTCGCCGCTGGACCTTTAAGAGAGGATGTATGGCTTGGATCCAGCGGGAAGCCAGGGCCCCCGAAAAGAAGCCTTTAAAGAAATTTCCCTTATTAAACAGTCTTTATGAGGCTTGAGCTTAAATATAACAGTCTTTTATTGATGAACAAACAGGAATTGTTAAACTTTCTTAACAGTCTCTTGGCTCTTGCAATCTTGTTCACAGGGAACAGGCACTATCTTCAAAAAAGCTTGTTTAAAGGAAAATTCCCCTTTCTAGCTCCTCCCAGGCTGCTGTGAACCTAAACGTTATTGATGTGGATTCACTACCGGGCTGAACTACGTCTCAACGCCGAGCGAACCTATCAAAAGGCTTGTAATCACTTAGCTGCTTTGCACAGGAGGACGTCTGTATACATCCTCTGCATAGACTTCCTTTGCTGAGACTAAATGAAAAATGGCCCCTTCCCTCCAAAAAACCAGAGAGGGGCGGGACCAGGGATCCTAACTATTATTGGCAGGTGGCTTGCCCTATGAATGCAGCCAAAGGAGCCACCTATCTGCAAAGTCCCTGCAACTTAGGACTATGAACAAACACTCAGTGCAAAGCACAAAACTGGAGCCCCTGGAACAGCCGTTCCAGAACAAATACAGGTGGTCCCAGTGGTCATCGTCACACTGGGTGCCGTGCCAAAACATCTCACCAGGCATTCGGAAACAATAAACATTGACAAAATCACGATCTGTCAACTGCAAAAGGCCACCTGACTTGGATCTTCACGCATCATTCGGAAATACATCAGAGTCCTAGACGCTTGGGAAGGGTTCGACTTGTGATTTTGTGATACGAAATCCAGCATAGAGATCTTTTGTAAAATAATAATAATAATAATAATAATAATAACAACAACAACAACTTTGGAGGACTAAACATGGTCTTACAAAGGACTGCTTTCCCATTACAACTCTTGTGTTTGGCAATGGGTGCCAAACTACTACTACTACTACTACTACTACTACTACTTTTGTGAACTCTTCCGTCTCTCGTTGTCCTCCAACGGTGCCAGGGAAGCCATGAGAGGGCGAGGGCAATGGAGCTGGACTCCTTCCTTCCTCCTCTCTCCCTCTTTCTCTCTCTCTCCTCCAAAGGCAGCACACACCCTTGGCCGCGGACCTTATTTTAGGTCTTGTATCCACAGATTGAGAACCACTGGTTTGAAGCAAATGTGAATGTTGCAATTAGCAAGCTTGAATAGCATTGAGTAGCTATGGAGCCGCAAAATCAATACATCCCAACTGATTGATTTTGTAGCTTCATAGCTACTCAATGCTATTCAAGCTTGCTATCTGCAACGTTCACACTTGCTTCCACACACAACCCTGGGACAGGGAAATCTGGTTAGGATTGCTCTCACACACACACACACACACACACATCAATTCATCCATCGATCAATCTATATGATTTTATGAAGGGAGGGAGGGAGGAGGGAAGGAAGGGAATAAAGGGATGAAGGGCAGAAGGAAGAGAGGAAGGGAGGGAGAAGGAGCAGAAAGGTGGAAGGCAGGCAGGGATGAGGAAGGATGGATTAAGGAAAGGAGGAAGGAGGGAGGCAAGGGATGAAGGAAGGAAGAGCGGAAGAACAGGAGGAAGAAAGGATGAAGTCAGGAAGGAAGGAAGGAAGGAAGGAAGGAAGGAAGGAAGGAAGGAAGGAAGGAAGGAGGTGCCAATGATACAAACAGCGCAAGCCTCACTCCCAGGGCAGTTGGCATCCGTAAAGCACACTTTGGAAGGAAACAAGCACCTTTCAGAACATAGCGTGTGACCAGTACCATGCAAGTGCCTTGATTTTCCTTGACACACACACACACACCTATCTATGAATGAAGGGCAGAAGGAAGAGCTGAAGGGAGGGAGGAGCAGAAGTGTGGAAGGCAGGCAGGGATGAAGGCAGGGATGAAGGAAAGAAGGAGGGAGAGAAGGGATGAACGGAGGAATGAAGTAAGGAAGGAGGGAGAGAAGGAAGAAAGGGAGGGAGGAAGGAAGGGAGCAAGGAAGGAAGAGTGGAAGGAAGAGAGGGAGGAATGCAGTAAGTAAGGAGTGAGAAAAGGAAGAAAGGGAGGAAGGAAGGGACGGAGGAAGGAAAAGAGTAAGGGAGAAATGAAGGAAGGAGGGAGGGAGAGAAGGAAGAAAGGGATGAAGGAAGGGAGTAAGGAAGCAAGAGCAGAAGGAAGAGAGGAAGCAGGAATATTGCATTCAAATCACCCCTGACAGATGGCCATCCAGCCTCTGTTTAAAAGCTTCCAAAGAAGGAGCCTCCACCACTCTCCGGGGCAGAGAGTTCCACTGCTGAACAGCTCTCACAGTCAGGAAGTTCTTCCTCATGTTCAGATGGAATCTCCTCTCTTGTAGTTTGAAGCCATTGTTCCGCGTCCTAGTCTCCAAGGAAGCAGAAAGAGAGAGAGAAGAAGGAGAGAGAAGGAAGAGAGGGGTGAAGATAGAGTGGAAAGGAGGGAGGAGGAGCAGAAGTGTTGAAGGCAGGCAGGGGTGAAAGAAGGGATGAAGGAAAGGAGGAAGGAGGGAGAGAAGGGAAGAAAGGGGTGAAGGAAGGGAGCAAGGAAGGAAGAGTGGAAGGAAGAGAGGAAGGCAGGGATGAAATGAGGAAGGAGGGAGGGAAGGAAGAAAGGGAGGGAGGTGCCAATGACACAAACAGCGCAAGCCTCCCTCCCAGGGCAGCTGGCATCCCTTAAGCACACCTGTGGAGGAAAGGAGCACCTTTCCAGCC